TGATGTCACATGAATGCTAAATCAGACGAATCTACAACAAACAAACAGAGAAAAAACTACATGAACACAGACACAAAAAATGCTCAACATAACATGAGTAAGGCTGAGGAGGAAGTGAGGTCAACCTGAGCCAAACAACCAGCCTCAACTACCTAAGCAAGGTCCTGTCTCAAAAAAAAAAGGGGGGGGGATTCTGGATCTTGCCCCAAGCCTAACTGACAGGAGACGCAACAGCTTACCTCTCTCAGTGGGAAGAGAAACAGCTTCCAGCTATGTCGTTTCACAGTCTTAACTTCTTTCCTGGAAGCACAGCTCCCCCAGAATGGCAGGGATGCTGGGATGGAGCCCAGGCAAGGTTACTGGAATATAAAAGAATATAGAGGGCACCAGTGACCCTTCCCTCCACCCAGAGGATCCCGGGCAGGCCTGCGAGAATGCAGGTAGCCCCTCCTTCCAACAAGAGGCCTGCAAGAGCACTGGTGACCCCTCCACCCATCTGGAGGAAACCAGGTGGACTTGGGAGACACCCACTGGCACAGTAGGGTCCTAGCTGGGCACACACCACGCCAGGTAGATCTGGAGGCCTGGAAAAGCCCAAAGTAGCAGTAACAGGATGAGCCAAGGGTTGGTTCACACCAGCACTCCTAGCTGGTCAACCAAGGAAGAATCCAGGACTCACCCAACTGGCCCTGCAGGAGAAATTCAGGTGACTGGCCCCTCCTCTACTGTGGCATCTGGTACCTGGGTGAATGCCAGCGGTACAGTAGGACTCTGACCAAGATGCACATGTAAGGTAAGACTACCGAGATTGAAAAGACCAAAGTATAAACCAAGAGGTGGAAAGGATAAGATAAAAAAGAAAAACGCAGTCTCAGGCCCCAGCCCATCCAGAACAAGTACAGGAGACATCAATGTGGAATAACCTGGAAGTCATAACCTAAAATTTCTGAAAAGATAGTAAATGAAGTAAAGAAATAAAGCCATGAGGTTATAGAAGAAATCAGATCACAAACAATCTCTCAAGTAAAAAAAAAAAGAGAGATAAAAAAGAAATGACAACTCTAATGAAGGAATTAATCAGCATAGCTAGAGAAAACAGATTTAAAAAAACACAGGAGCATAGGAAAATGATGGAAACCTTGAATGAACAATGTAAGGAGAGATTATAATATACAACACAGATTCAAAGAGATATCCAGGAAATTAAAAACTCCATCAAAAGCTGGCAGAACCACTTGAACAGAACTGAAGATAGACTTTCAGACCTTGAAGGAAGGATTGCAGCTAGCAATCATGAAAAAAGAGATCTCTTAAAAATAAAAAGGGGTCATGAAATAACAATTCAGCAGTTCCAAAATGATGCAAATAAAAACAATGTAAGACTAATACATGTCAGTGAAAAAGCAGGAGTCAACACAATGACATTTAAAAAAAAACTATTTGCAGAACGAATAGAAAATTTCCCAAGCATGGGAACAGAATCTGATTACAAATAAGTGAGGCATATAGAACCCCAAATAGACATAACCAAAATAAATCAATTCACAGGCATATCATAATCAAGATCCCAGAAATTCAGCACAAAAACAGAATATTAAAAGCTGTCAGAGAAAACAAATAGATCTCCTATAAAGCCCATTAGAATCACAGCTGACTTCTCAACACAAACCCTCAAGTCAAGAAGAGCTTGGAGTAAAGTATGTTAAGCTTGGAAAGAAAACAACTTCTAACCCAGATTGATGTACCCTGAAAAACTATCTTCCAAATTAATGGAGAAATAAGATACTCCATGACAAAGAACAACTGAAGAAATTCATAATCACCAAACCAACCCTACAAAGGGTACTGAAAGATATTCTAGATAGAGACAAAAATGACCACAATTTCAAGAATAACAGAAAGAAACAAACCAAAAAAGCAGTTCTAAGAGGGAAAATTATAGCAGTGAATCTCACATCAAGAAAATAGGACCACAAATAAACAATATTATGCTGTACCTCGAGCTTCTAGTAAAAGAAAGGCAAGTCAAGCCCAAAGCTCATAACAGAGAGGAATTTATAAGCAGCCAGGAATTTACAGCAGCCAGGAATGGTGCTACACACCTGTAATTCCAGCACTCAAGAGGCAGAGGCAGGAGGATCACTGGGAGTTCGAAGCCAGCCTGGGCTACACAGTGAGACCCTGTCTCAAAAAAAAAAACAAGAATCAGAGCAGAAATTAATGCAATTGAGACAAAGAAAACAATACAAAGAATTAATGAATCAAAAAGTTGGTTCTTTGAAAGAATAAACAAAATTGAAAAACCTTAACCAACCTTTTTAAGAAAAGGAAAAAAACCTCAAATTCATACAATGAGGTGAAATCACTATGGAAATTCAGAAGATCATACCATACCTACTTTGAAAATCTTTACTCACATAGGATGGAAAATACAGAAGAAATAGATTCCTAGATATATATGAATTACCAAAGCTGACTCAAGAAGATACAAATATTTTGAATAACCCAGTTAATAAAACTGTAGACATAATTTAAAAAATTCAACAAGACGTTTAGAGATAATTTAACACCAACACTCCTCAAACTCTTTAATAAAACTGAAAGAGAAGCAGTTCTCTCACACTCGTTCTTGGAGGCAAGTTACTCTCATAGCTAATCTTTGACAAAAGGGTCAAACATGTTCACTGGACCAAAGCCTCTTTAATACATGATGATGGGAAAAGTGCCTTTCCACATGCCAAAGACTAAAACTAGACCCATGTCTATCACTATGCACTAAACTGAAGTCAAAATGAATCAAAGATCTAAATTGTAAAACAGAAACACTAAATCTACTGCAAGATAAAGTAGGTAGAAATCTTGAGGACACAGGGGTAGGCAAAGAGTTCATGAACAAAACGCAAATTGCGCAGGAAGTACTTCAAAAAACCAAAACTGGGATGTCAGCTTATTTAAAAGTTTTTGCACATCAAAAGAAATCACCAACAGAGTGAAAAGACAACCCAAGAATGGGAAAAAAAATTTAGCCAACTTTCCCTCAGACAAAGGACATCTAGAACATATTAAAAAATGGAAAAAAAATCAGGCTCCTCAAATTCAAAGAGCCAATCCAAAAATGGGCATCTGAGATGAATACACACTTACCAAATAAAGAAATACAAATGACAAATACATATGAAAAAATGTTCCACATCATTGACCATTTAAGAGATGCAAATTAAAACAACACTGAGATTCTATCTCACTCCAGAAAGAATGGCTATCATCAAGGTATCAATAACAAGTGCCATATTCCCAGAACTGAAAACATCATACCACAGTGAACTATGTGCACCCATGTTTATAGCAGCACAATTTGTAATCGCCAGATCTTGGAAACAACTAAGTGTCCATCAAGGAGGAATGGATAAAAAAGTTGTGGTATTTTTACACGATGGAGTACTACTCAGCTATAAAGAATGATCACATTGGGATATTTACTAATAAATGGGTGCAACTTGAGACCGTACTCATAAGCGAAATAAATCAAACTCACATATATAAATACCATATGTGTATAAATCCTAGTGTAAGAAATAGTAAGAGTACACAAGAGTTTACGGTAATCATGATTCCCCATTACATTGTTTTGAAGCCTTATAATGACTGCATTAGTTAGTTGTAATGGGTTTGTCCTTGTTTGTTTAATTTTATTAACTGTGATGGTATGAACAGCTAATTGAGAGAAACAAGTCACTATAATAGCCAGTACCGATACAATATCATCTTACTCTGAAGTCCTACCATGCTCTTGCTCTTCTGTTTCCATTGGCTCTATCATATTGTACCTTATTGGATTGTATTACATGTGAAAGTATAAACAAGTTTCCTATGGAAAATGAGATAATATAGTAGCCATTGTTTTCTGTCATTTGCTCCTGAATGCCCTGTAATACGCTCATTCTCTTGAATGTTTTTATACTATTTTGTTATGTTTGATACTATTGTATATGACGTTATACTCAATTATTGCAAAGAAAGAGACATCGTGGTAGTTACTGTTAATTACGGATTATCTTCTAGTGAAATACTGTGTTGCTTACATTGTTCTGTTCTGATCTGCTTTGTTATATCCTGTTTTAACTCTTTAAAAAAAAAAAATACCAGCAGGGCTGTAGAAAAAAAGAATCCTTCTCCACTGTCGGTGGGAGTGTAGACTGGTGCAGCCACTGTGGAAACCAGTGTGGAGATTTCTCAAAAACTAAGACTGAAGATCCCATTTGACTCAGCTACTCCCCTTCTGGGTATTCTCCCAGAAGAATTCAAAACACCATACATAGTACAGCAATGTCTGTGCACCTATGTTCATAGCAGCACAATCTGTAACAGTTAAATCTTGCAAATGCCCGTCAACCACGGAATGAATAAAAAAGGTGGTATTTGTATACAATGGAGTACTGCTCAGCTATAAAGGATAAACTTGAGGCTTCCTTAAGTAAAGCTGGCAACGGCACACGCCCAGCATTCAGCATATCGGGAGGCTGAGGCAGGACAATCACAGATGCAAACCCAGCCTGGGCAACTTGGTGACTTAGCAAGACCTGTCTCAGCATGAGAAACGTAAAAGGGTTGGCAGGATAGCTTTGCGGGAAGATCCTGATTTAATCCCCAGGAGCCAAGAAAAACCAAAAAACCTGTGCAGCTCTGCTTTGCCGTGGGAAACCGCAGTGGTCCTGAAGTATCACGCACAAGTCGTTCAATGGGGTGCATTTATTCAGTGCGTTAGGGTTCCCGCGCACAGGGCGGTGTTCGTGGGTTTTCCAGGCGGCACTAAAGGACGAGCTGTCCTGTTCTCCTTCCGCACAGCGCAGGAGAAAGCTGCTTCTCTGACCTTCCGTGCTGGGGCCGGGGCCAAGGCGGAGCCTTCTGGCCCGCGCGTGGGACCCAGGGTTGGCTCCACCAAGAAAGCAGCTCACTTTGTTAAAATGAAAACAAAAGGAAGCCCGAATAAAACACGGTAAATCCCACTCCGCTGCCTTCCGCTCGTCCCATGCGTGCAGCTCTCTCCGCAGCGGCGCGGCACCTCGCCTGGCCGAGCGGACCCCGCCGCAGTGCCGTCCGCTTGGGACCCGGGGTCCCGAGGACCGAGTTCGCGCCCGGCATCTGCTAAGCGAGTCCCTGCACGGGCCCGCCCTCCCCCAACTCCGGCCGTTCGGGGATCTGGTTCGGCCCGCCCGCTGCCGGACCCGCGCCGCCCGCACACGCCCGGAGGACGCCGGGGGAACGCCGCGAGCCGCTCGGCCTCCGGCCGGCAGGGGGCGCCCGCACCCGTGCCCGCGCTCGCCGCCGCGCCGCCGCCGCTCCTGCGCAGGACCCGCTTCCCGGCCTCCACTCGCGGCAGCGGCGGCGGCGGCGGCGGCAGGCGGACACGCAGCGGGGCAGGGACGGGGCCGGGCCGCGGACGGAGACGGGGCCAGCCGGGGACCTGGGCCGGGCCGGAGCCGGGGCGCGCAGCCGGGTGGCGGCGGACGTGGGGCCGGGGCCGGGGCGCGGGCGCGGGCCCGGGCGCGCGCATGGAGAGGCGGGCCGCGGGCGCACAGCCCCGGCGCAGGAAGCAGCCGCCGCGGCCGGCCGACTTCAAGCTGCAGGTCATCATCATCGGCTCGCGTGGCGTGGGCAAGACCAGCCTCATGGAGCGCTTCACCGACGACACTTTCTGCGAGGCCTGCAAGTCCACCGTGGGTGAGTCGCGTCCAGCGGGCCAGGCGGTCGGTGTGGTTCCGGTCTGGGCAGCCGCCCCCCCCCCCGCCCCGGGTCGGAAGCAGGTCGGGCCCCCGGGCCCGCGGCGATCGGCCTGGTGCTCCCGCCCTGGCGGACTTCCCGCAGGTCCGCGTCTCGGGTGGGGGCGAGGCCCTGCGCCGTCTACACCGAGGGCGACCCCTCCTCGCTTTGCTCTTGGAGGCGAGGGGTCTTCCGTGCAAGCCAGGGCTGGTGTTCGCTGCTGAGCCCACTTTCGTGGTGCACGGACGTGATGGCCCCTAAGGCGTCCTACGAGACCGTCAGGACTAACGTTACTCCTAAATTTCCTGGAGTAAACGTACTTGGGGGGCAGAGGGACTACGGCAGTGTTTGTCCCTGATCTCAGATAAGCCGGGGACGATTCTGCCAGTGCCACCCCTGCAGCCAGAGTGCAACGAAGTCAGTGCCAAGGTTAACGTAGGGAAATGTTTTTAGGAAGTCAAACTCATAGGGCTTGACGTTGAGGTTTTGCAGGTGGGTGTGGGCCACGTTTCCCGTGGAAGGGAAACCCCTTCCAAGCTGCCAAAGCCAGGGCAGCCAGAAAGTAAGTGGCTCTTCAGAATAAAGAGCAGGCTCCTTGGTGAGCAGGATAGCAGGATGAGAGGGGAAGAACCACACAGTAGTTTGGAGGTTTGACACACAGAATTGAAGTGTCGTCCCACGTACTTATACTTAAAATTGTAACCAGCGGTAGTTAACGTTTTGAGGTGAAAATGGTTCTATAGGGAAGTTAGAGAATCTGTCTGAAGAATTTACTGGGAATCTCCATAGGGAATTTTAAATTGATAAATTGTCATATAACAAAACAATACCGCCTTTAAGATGTCTTACTGGAAAATTAAACCTCTCATTTTTGGATTGTGTCTTTGTTTCATTTTTGAGAACTTCCTGTAAATGTTTCTTTTGCTCCCACCCTTTTGGAAGTATTTGTGCTCTCTGCACTCTGTTGATTTTAAATATTAAGTCTTGGGGACATGATGTTAAGCTTAGCAACGTAGCCAAACCTGTTTCAAACATCCAGTTGTGAATTATAAGAGTAGAGGGAGTTATTCAGCCCGGAAACGAGGTTTATGCTGTTTTCCTTAGTATCTGACATAATTACAGTAGGGTTTGGAGCACTTTAGAGTGATGCATCTTTTACGGCCCCACACTCAGTATAGAAAAACACAAGCTAGAACAGTTGCACCGCGGGCTTGCTAACAGGTGGGTGGCCAGGAAGGCACAGGACAGATAGGCGAGCAAGTGGTGGAGGTCACTTTATTGCAGGGAGAGGTGAGGTCAGGAAGAGATTTCCAAGCCAGGCTCTGGGAGGGCACCCCAGCCTGGGAGAGGTTACTTAGGTGCTGGGAAATTGGTGTGTGGAGACCTTGACTGTCGTGGCCAGGAGCATGGACACTGCCGGTGGCACTGGAGCCTAACAGCCTCTTCATAAAACCAGAGGCTGAAGACAGCGAACCTAAGACTGCACAGCACACCGGAGAATGAGCAAGAAACCTGGCAGCTTGCTTCTCTGCCCCCTCAACAAACATAAATGCACAGGCACCCACAGTTCCCATCTCCCCACGCTGAATGCAGTTGCATTTCAGGCTCACTCATTTTTGCTCCCTCCACGTGTATCAGCCTGCTGGCGGCTCAGATGTTTCTGATTTTGGGAAGTTATGAGCAAAGGGATAACCCATAGTCTGATCCAGCGCGGTGAAGACACTTAGCAGTCTCACCAGCCCCTGTGCAGTTCTGCCCAAGTGGCCTGTCCCTAGCCCTCTTCTGGTATGCAGCTGGCCCCAGGACCCAGTGGTGAGCAGCTCTAGGCTCTGTCTGGAAGTGGAGGGAGGGGGTGTTGTGGAAGCCGGTGCCTGTCTCTTCACTGAGGTTGAGGTGAGGACTAGGCAGGCGAGCTTCCTCCTCTTTGGACTACTGTGAAGATAAACTCCAGTCCAGAGCTTTTGAAAAGCAGTGTTTAACTGTGGGGCTCCCCTTTGGGCAGTGAATTCCTGAGTCCTTCTGGGCCAGTTTTTCTAGTTTCCTGTCCAGGATGCACCTGGAGCCCCTGAGGACAGCCCCTGGTGACAGTGTCTTGTGGTGTCCTGTCCGAGCTCATCTGCTGCTCCCAGCAGCTCAGCTGGAAAAGATCCGAGCTGGAAGGAAGAGGGTCTCCCGAGCATTTTTCCTAGCTGACCCAACTCCTTTGGACTTTCTGCCGCAGGAAGTAATAGACATCCTTACAGCTTGGAGAGCAGAGGCTAATGTGTAAAATTAGGAGTCAGCAAAATGCCAGGGTTCTTTTATATTAATCAAGTCAAGCTGATTGGTTTAAAAGATAGAAAATTCACAAGGGTATGAAAAACTACCGAGATTCATTTCAGTCCTTGACCTGTATAATGGAAATGATCCAGAAGGAACTGGGTCTTTCAGTTAGCCTCTCTCAGTCATGAACGTGAGTTTCCTAGTCTGAGATTACCAGCATGGCTTGACAGGTCCTTTGAAGTTTGAGGTGGAAAAATATTAGTTTGCTTTAGACATTTCTAGTATACTTAGTCCTGTGTTTTTGGTAGTGACGCACCCGTCTACACTTAATTACCCACCTCGGGTGTCAGGGGTCTGTGAGTACATGTCCACAGGCAGAAATGCAGAATCCATTTCTGCCTGGCATAGCCAAGTTCCTGGTGTCTTCCTCCTTTTTGATTCCTGCTAGATTTAGCACAAACTGACCAGCCTTTTTAAAAGTAGACTTCAGGGGTAGAAGTGTAGTTCAGTGCCTAGCATGGACCAGGCCCTGGGTGTGATTTCCCAGCACTGCCAAAAGAAAAAAAAAAAAAACCACATACTTAGAAAAAAAACAAAAAATATATAGTTACAGCTGAGTGTGGTGGTGCACACCTGTAATTGTAGTGCTTTGAGGGGCCAAGGCACGGGATCCTGCCTGGTGCCCTGTGAGACCCTGTCTCGGAATGCCACGTGAAAGGGCAGGGGCTGTGGCCCAGGGTGAAGCCTGGGATGGGGCCCGGAGCTGTGTGCCTGCACCCACACATCTGCACATACCATGTGTGGCATGTGTGCCCTCTAACAGCTCTGGAAAACACTAAGCGGGAATGAGAGCCTGGGCCTTGGTGCGGGTTCCACCGCAGTCACTAGTGAGTTTGGTAGTCGTTTACCTGTCTGCGCATGATGGGTAAAACCAGCATTGCTGCTTGCTGAGCGCTCAATAGGTACCAGCCAGGGCCTCACTGCCCGCTGAAAGTTGCCCCACTCCCAGATGGGGACAGGGGCTCAGAAAGTTGGGGATTTCCTCCCTTGGACGCTGGTCCTTCTGTCTCCACCTGCTCCTTAGCTTCCTCTAACGCCGATGCTGAGTGTGCTCTGTGGAGAACACGGCTGGTACATGGGCGCATTGGTCATGGTGAACTCTTTCCTCACTTTCCTCACTTCCTTGCTGGGTGCCTGGTGACATGACTGCCGGGTGCTATCAGCTTACCTTCTGCACAAGGCCCCCATCAATCGCTTGTCCTGTCCTTGTGGGTGTTTATGAGATCACACTTGTTCCTAGCAGCCTGAGCCTCCCTGAGGGAAAAGGTGCACATGGAGCTCTGGTGTGGTTCGGAGGCAGGGCTACACACCTGACCTCACAGGGCGGGCCGGCAAACTCGCAGTCATCTCTTTCTATATCTACAGATACTCAGAAACCCAACAAACTGCAAAACACAATCCATTTTGGTCCCAAGCACTTCGGGTAGGGAATATGCCAACTGGCATATTCTATCATTCACATATCATGAACTTTTTCATATGTTTATAAAATTCCCCAGATTTCCCAATTTAAGCATATTAAAATACAGGAGGAGTAAATGTGAGCCATCTGAATGAGAATTCAGGTGTTCAGCCAGTCAGATTTCCCTGCCCAGAGTTCTAGAGGCCAACTAGGATGGCTAGATTTTTTGCCAGGTACAAAGATACTTTTTAAAATCCACTATCACCAGCTTTTCAAAAAAAAAAGATTCACAGTGCAGAGAAAGGAGGGGAAGTTCAGACTCTTTTACATTTCCTCCCGAGAACCTCATTACTTTTCCCGTCTACAGCAGGGCTCAGCTTCCAGCCTGACCCCACAGGAGGCTCTGTCAGCCCAGGTGCTGCCATGTTCCCCGGGGGGCCCACCAGGGGTACTCTGGGAGCCTGGGCCTTGCGGGTGGCAGGGAGACCAGGAACAGGTGGTCACAGTGTCTTTGACCACACGTGCTTTACTCTGGAAACCCAGAGACTCAGGGTAGAAGTGAAGCAGGAACACAGGTCTAAGCTGCGTGCTTGAATTTCTCTTGTGTTTATGGGCATTCGTTCACGCTGTGACCCAGGTATCTCTAAGGGAAGAGAATTAGGAAGCCATCCAGTCTCTCACTTCAGGAGCTGCAGTGTTCGCCCTGCAGCGCGCAGCACAGAGTGACCCGCCCATGGCCACGGGGCTGATATCACCTAAGGATGAGGGAGGAAGGGCCCGGGTGGGTGGATCTCAACCTGGGCTCTGAGGGTGTGGGGACCCCCGAGGCCAGACACAGCCTAGCAGTGTCCCCTGGAGAATGGAATTTTCGCAGACAAAGTTCACAGATGCAGATGGGCTGGTCGTATAGCTGAAGGAAAATCCTACTGAAGACCTGGCTCCAGTGCCCATGCAGCCAGACTCAGGGTGGCCGATTCCTCCCCAGGCAGCATGGGCAGATCTGGGGCCGTCTAGCTGCTGTGCCCCAGGGAGCAGCGGCTGAGGCCAGCACTGGACAGTCGCTTCAGCTTTCCAAGAGGGTCTCCCAGTACACAGCCATCTCCCGGGCACATAGGATGCCTAGTGAGTCCCTGCTGGAAGGGCACTGGAGTCACAAGAGACGTAATAAAAGGCTGGCACAGAGGCAGCACCATTGTGCTCCAACAGGGGAACAGCCGATGACTCCCCTTCGGCCTTCTGTTGCACAGCTGTGACATTTGGGACTTAGATGGAAAACCCAGGCTACCAGCCAAAGATCGTGTCCTTAGCTCAGGGTGATTGTGGTTGCTTTTATTTTATTTATGTATTTTTTGGTACCAGGAATCAACTCAGGACCTTGTGTTTGCCAGACAGTTGCTGTACCATTGAGCTATGTCCCCAGCTCAAAATGGTTCTTTAAAGCCAGATTGGATATAAGGGGACCAGCATGCATATTCACTGGGCTGGACAGCTGGATGCCTCCCTGCTGGTGTCCCAGAGCAGCAGTGCTGGGTTTCCAGTGCTTACACAACACCTTCTTAGTTTACAGAACAACACAGCCCGCCTCCAGCACCACCCATGCCAGCCTGGGGGAGGAGCTCTGGAGGACACCCCGGCCAGCCCCTGACAGGTCAGGAAGCTGGGGCTATAAGACTAAGCGTGGATGGGCGTGTGACGCCATGCAGACCCCGTGAGTGAGTCCCTTGTGTGCCCAGCCCTTGTGTGGGGTCAGCACCTTGCCTATCCATGGAGATCGATCAGCTGAAGAGCCATTGCCTACCATCTGCATCTGCTCTTCAGTTCCCAGCCAGAGAGAGAAACTCGTGGCCGCCCGCTGACCCTCTCCTGAGTTACATTGTAAATGCAAAGACTCTGAAGGAGTCCCCCGCCCCCAGTCCTTGCCCTCGCGGAGACCCATTGACCTGTGGGGAGCGTGACCTCAGGACAGTCCTCGCCGCAATGCTCCTGGCATGTCACCCCAGCAGCAGGAGAGCTGACCAGTGTGTGGGGAGTGGAGCGCAACAGCAGCCGCCTGGGCTCTGTGATCAGGCTTCTTCTGGCTCGGCCTCTAGATCCTCACCCTCTTAGGGACCAGGGGCCAGCAGTGGCAAATGCCCGCCCTGCTCCTCCCTGCACTCCACCTTCTGCAGGCGGTTGAAGGAGAACCTGCACCACGGTGGGGACGGCCCTGCCGGCTACTGTGGTACTCATCTGGGAACCTGTATCCATGTCACCAGCTCCTTAAAGTCATGGGAATGAGCAGGGGGGCTGTGTGTACTGCACTCTTCGCAGAGGATGGCTGACGCCGAGGACCTTGTTCTGCCCCTGGGCTTTGCTGGCGCATGTGCACTTACCCCTGTGTCTCATGTTCAAGGTGGTGCCTGGGTCAGGCGTGGAGTGCCTTGCTCCTCCTAAAGGGAGAGAGGGGTGCTCTGTGCTTGCTCGGCCCGGAGGGGGAGCAGGCCTGTGCATCTTTCCAGCAACGCATGTGACCTTCCTATGCCCATGTCCCTCCGCTCGGAGGTTCAGTGTCCTCATGGGCTACAGAGACCAGGCATGGCTTAGGTGGGAAGGGCCGGACACGACACAGTGTGGCTCTGGCCCGCAGTGTCCCCTCTGCCCAGGGACACTCGTCTCCTAGGGGTAGAGTGGCTTTTCTCTATGACCTTGGCACTTTCTTAGTTTAGCTGGTCATCATACACTGAGGAGGCCCGAAGCCCTGTCCTTCAGAAGGATTGCGTCCAAGTAAAGACAGGCGCTGTGCCGCGTTGGTGACTTCACAGCAGGGTGGGCTGACCTCTCGCAGTCCCTGCTGGACGTGTCTCGGGCGCCTGGGCTGGCGGCACCATTCGAAGACCTGCAAGGGATGTTTTTGCTGTTTTCCTTGCCTAGACTTCTGGACCAGCAAAGGAAACACAGTAACGTTTGTTAGAAGGACTAGAGGCTGTGCCAGCACCCTGATCCGGGTTTCTCCCGCCGAGGGTGGAGTCTGGGACATAGGAGGAGGACGGTGTGGAGCTGCCCTCCCAGCCACATGCACAGCACCCTGCACCAGCTCACCCCAGCCTGCTGCTGGCTGCATGACCTTGGGCCCTGGCACACTGTGCCCCCGGCATGCTATGCCCCTGGCTTGCGGCAGGCCTGCAGTCAGGCCTTTCTCATGTCATGAGCATTACTCGGGTCTAGAAGTCCCAGTGGGATGTACAGCATCTGGGTCCGGGATGATAGGACAGCATCCTGAGGTAGACTGAGCAAGACCTCCTCGGATGGGCAAGCTCCAAGTCACCAACGCGAGAGCGTACACCACTGTGCAGTCCCAGTGACACCACTGTCTGCAGACTGGGCGTGCTCAGGGAGGGGTGCGCGAATGCGCACCGTGCTCACCTCCGCGCATGTGCCTCAGGGGCCATGGCGCAGGGGCCTGGAGAGCTGAGGTGGACCGAGTGAGAGGAGGCAAGCAGGGGAGGTGGAGGCCAGGGCTGGCGAGGGAGCCCGAGCGGGCGCTTCGACCTTAGGTACCCAGCGGTGGTGAGCTATGTGTGTGCATGCATGCGCGCGCGCACGCACACACATACGTGTCCGCCCCACTCCCCCAACCTGTACGGTAACGCACAAGTGCAAAGTTGGCTTCAAATGAGCACCTAAAGCTCCAGAGACTGACTCCAAAGGGGACACACGGTGACTTGCTTAGCAATTTTTTTCAAAGAAAATTCTTAATTTTATTAATTGCTCCATTTTACTTCAATGTTGTAGAATTAATTTTCTTTTTTGATTTATTTTTTAATTGATGTATGACTTTTACACTTAGGGAAGTTGGTACATGTATATGACGTGTCTTTTTTTTTTTAATATCTTACATAATTTATTGAACAGCATACTGAAAACGAAAAACAGAACAATTCTGTTTTGTAGACCTAATAGCATTTGAGGCTGGGGATAAAGCTCAGTGGCACAGTCTCTGCCTGACAAATGTAAGGTTCTGAGTTTGATTTCTGATAACAAAATAATAATGTCAAAACATAAAATACAGTATCCAAAACACCCTGGCAGTGCAGCATGCAGTGAATCTGTGGTTGTTATCCCTATGATTAAAAGTTGAAGGCCAACCTGGACAATTTAGTGAGACCCTGTCTCGGGAAAAAACTGGAGATGAAGTTCAGTAGTAGCACACTTGGTATGTGACGTGTCTTAATTTGCTTAATATAAGATTAAATCTTTTAATATTCTTCCTCTTGCTATATGATAAGTAAGTTGTATTTTTGGTTGCCAAAAATTGTTGTGTGTGCTGGGAAATTTAATATAGTAATTTCCAGATTCAGACAAAGGAAAGTTTCCAGTGTTCCCTTTAAGAATCCAGCCAAGATAATGTCACTTGTTCGTGTAATTGTTACATGTGATTTGGTGCTGGGTGCGGCAGCACACGCAGGTCCGCACAGCACCTAGAGGGGCTGAGGCAGGAGAGCTGAAGGCGTGCAAGGTCAGCCGTAGTGAGACCAAGGCAGCCTGGGCAGCCCAGGGACACTGTGATCCTGCAGCCACGAGCTTTGCTCTGACCGTGGACGCTGGCTGGGTGGGGTGCCCCCAGCACCCACGCTGCTCTCTTGTGGGGCCCCTGCACCCTGCGATTTCATAAGGCTGGTTTTTTTTATTTTTCTGGTAATGATTCAAGAATACACAAGTAGGTTTTTAATAAAATGCATATTCCTGGTTTTTGCTTCATGTTTGATTTCCTTTGCAGGTGTTGACTTCAAAATCAAAACCGTGGAGCTAAGAGGAAAGAAAATCAGATTACAGATCTGGTAAGTGGCGGTTTACTCCATTGAGTACACTTGTGTGCACTGGGCTCAGCCACATGTGGAAGCCCCTCAGCATGTGCAACACTGTGTCCCCGCCCTGTGCTCTGTGGTCCCTTCGATTCTGACTGCAGGCCGTTTGCATGTGCTAAGCTGCATCACCATGGCCGCTGCCCACCTGCTCGGCGTCCTGTCCTGACATGTGCCCCCTACACTGGAGTCTGGGGAGAGCCTATGCATGGGCAGCTAGGCTGGCTCCAAACCCTCAACAGAGGCCCTGGATAGAAGCCCCTGTAGCCACGTGCGGCGATGCACACCTGTCATCCTGGTAGTCTGGGAGGCTGAGGCAGGAGAATGGCAAGTTGAAGCCCAGACTGGGAACAGCGACTCAGCAAGACTATCTCCACGCGCAGCTGGAGCGTGCAGGCCGGCTGCCTCTCAGGAGCAGGGGACGGGGCGGCCTGGGCCAGCCACTCAGCCTACTAACCCTCTCGTAGGTGCCCTCGTTCTGACTGTCTGTCTGCATCTGTGTGTCTGCTTCCATCGCGCTAACCGCTGTCCATCTGTGGCACCACCGTCACCTAACACTGAGTGTCCGTGCCGTGTCTCCATCTCCATCTGTGTCCCCGCCCCGAGCCGCTACAGCCCTGCCAGAGGCATCCAAGGTAACACCCCCTCCCCCACCCACCGTCCTGGCCGAGGGCTGAGCCCTGTTGGTTTCCGTTTTGTCATGTTCTAGTTTTGGTGGTCAGGGTCATGAGTACTGACGGTCTCATTGGGACATCTGAGCCACAGAAAGCACCTGTCACCCCTCCTGCCTGGAAAAGGCAGCAGACTCGGTTCCCAAACTGACCATCCTGCTGCCTGCCAGCGAGCTGCCAACTCTGATCACGGGCTTTTAGAGAAAGAGCACCTAGGAAGGTGCTAGAACTCTTCCACCTGTCACCTGCCACCTGCCACTGGGCCTGGGGGTTAAGCCGTGGGGCCCTCGCAGCGAGCCACATCCCCAGCCCTTTTTTAAAATTTTATGTTAGGGGCTACTGAGTTGCCCCGGCTGGGCTTGAATTTGAAGTCCTGACTCAGCCTCCCAGAGTACTGGGAATACTGGCACGTCCCATCGTGCCCAGCTCCTTTGCATGAGGAGGGTGAGGGCACTAAGACTAGACTGTGTGACGCTTGCTTTGGTGGGCGGCAGACATGTCTGAAGACGCTGGGCACTGGACCTGAAGCCTCTGTCCGAAGGCTCTGGTGCCTCCCTGCCCCTCTGCCCAGGAACACAGGATAGTGCTGGGCTTGCTGTGAGGTGCACACCCTGCACTGGTGTCCAGTCTTGCCCAGCCTTTGGCGGTGAGGGGCAGAGAGAGGCCTATATCCCTTGGGGACAGGAACTGAGTCTGATGTTTCCTGTGTACATCATGCAGACCTTGGGGTGTTTCATAGGGTGTCTAGTGCAGCAGCCTCAGGAGGTCAGGTCTGGAACTTTCCACCTCTGGTATTGTGTTGATGCTCAGAAGATTACAGATGATGCAGCATTTAGAGATGTTTTGTGTTCTTTTGTCTTTTTTTTTTTTTGGATAAAACAGGGTCTTGCTATGTAGCAGTAGCCCAGGCTGGCCTCAAACTTGCAGAGGTTCTCCTGCCTCAGCCTCCCCAAGTATTGGTATTAGAAGCACATCATCATGCCTGCCTTTCCCCTTTTTTCTTTTTGAGTTCCATGGTTTTGTATTAAGAATGCTGGGCCTGGACCACGTAACTTGTATTGCTGTTGTGCTGCCATAGCACCTTGTCATGTCATGGTTCTCTGGGCCATCAAGGGCGTGGCGGTGCCAGCTCGGCCACCAGTCATCGTCTGGGAAGTGTAGAGCAGGACTCTCTTTTACAGGGGCCCTTGCTGGAGCAGGTGTCCCTTCCTGTTGATTTCTTTGTGGCCGTGGCTGCAGGTTCCTGAAGGTGTGGCAGGTGGAGCGCTGCGGAAGGCTCTGACACTGTCCCTGCATCTCTTCATCATCGCCACATCAGTCCCTTGCCATCCACTGCTCTGCACTTAGGCCTGGCGAGCCAGTGTGGTCTCAGGCACTAGCCCTGGACTCACTGAGAGCTGGGCGGTGTCCCTGGGACCAGAGGAGCCAGCACGGGTACATGCCAGGCTGCATTGCGCATGCAGTGGAGTCAGCGCTGCTCCTGGGCAGGCAGTGCCGTCACCTCGGGGCGTGGGTGGTGGAGCCACCAGCTGGTCCCGAGCCTACTGCGGGGCACGAGGGCCAGCAGTCACTTTGACCTCAGGTCACGGGGCTGAGGGCTGAGGTTTGTATGCGTCAGTGCCCACAAGCAGGGGAACCTGGGCCTGGACCTTGAGGTCCTGGGGCTTCTGTAAGGGCCCAGCCTGGGCAGGCCCCTTGCTGGCTGGTGTGGAGCAGGCTGGGATGGAGGAAGAAGCCACCTGCCAGACACGAGCGCTCTGCTCCGGCCGCACCATGGGTGGAGCCGCTTTTCTGCCTGGTGTCGGGCAGAGCTGGGGCAAAATTGGAGATGAAGGAGGGTGTAGGAGCAGGGGCTGCTAAGAGTCACCGAGCCATTGCTCACTGGTTCCGTTTTACTTGGAGACACGGTCCCGTGTGTCCCCGTTGTGGTGTGGGATGGGGGGCGGTCACCCCAGGGACATGAGCAGCTGTTGACCAGGTTTTGGAACTCCTGAGGCTCCAGCCCCTTGCCTGCTGTCACCGGCTCTCCCCAGGGTGCAGGTCCTTGCTCAGCTGGGACTGACTGCTGCCTCGGTTCCCTAGGGACACTGCGGGCCAGGAGAGATTCAACAGCATCACCTCAGCCTACTACCGAAGCGCCAAGGGCATCATCCTCGTGTACGACATCACCAAGAAGGAGACCTTCGACGACCTGCCCAAGTGGATGAAGATGATCGATAAGGTGTGCACTCCCCAAGGGCCACATGCCACCTGCATGGACTCGGCCTAGCGCCGCTAAATGAATGCCCGGCGTGGTCCAGGGCAGGGACAGGTCCAGAGTCCTCTCCCATGTGACAGCCAGGGCTCTGCTCAGTGCTGGGCTCGGAGCCTGCATGCTCCTTCCACCAGATGAGCATGTTCCTGCCGAGGGTCATGTGCACACTGGGTTTGTGTGCACAAGCAGGTGGCCTTCTCTGCAGGCCCTGGATGCCCAGGTCCCAGTATCCGCTGTACACCAGCCCTGGGTGTCAGCTGTCCAGCAGCTCTTCATCTTGCACAGGCTTTTTCTTTGCTCACAATATCCCAGCAGTTTGCACACTGCACCCAGGGCCTCTGTCCAGAATTACAGTGTTACTTTTTATTTTGACATAGGACTCTTTAAGTTGCCAGGCCCGGATTGGAATGTTTTCATCCTCCTGCCTCAGCTTCCACAATGCTCCGTAAGCCCTTCTGGTGGTCATCCCCGGTAGAAGGGCTGTGGAACCTGGGCTCAGTTTCAAAGCCTCCAAGTGCACACCTGAGGAAATCAGAAAGGACCCGTCTTCACCAGAGATCTCAGGAGATGAACTCCAAGCAGAAGGAAGTGTCCCGCACTCCCAGGGCCTGTGAGGAGCTTGAGTCTGAGCCTCACGCAGGGGGCTGTGCGACCCCCTGGCCTGGCTCCTGGGCGGTGCTGCTGGGCGCATGAGGGGGCCTGGCTATTCTGTTCAGGCAGCTGCCCAAGCAGGGCGCCCGGCGCTTCTTAGAAATACACGGAATTACATGAGTCCCTCAAGGTTCTAGCAGTTTAAAGAAAAGTTTTTTGTTATACCTATATTTTTGAAAAACAAAAAATAGCTTACCTTTTTTTCTCAATTACAAAATTAATGACTCTCTAGTTCAGCATGGTGGTGCACACCTGTAACCCCATCACTCTAGGAGGCCGAGGCCGGAGGATCACTAAGAATTCAAGCCAACTTAGCAAGGCCTCATCTCAAAAAGGGACTGGATTTGATCCCCCATACTGGAAAAAAGCAAAATTAATAGCATCTTCATTATAGAAACTTGGAAAATCAAGAACAAAAGTATATCTAAAATCCTGGCCCTGGCTTATTTTGTCATTCTGCATCACTAAAGGTCCTTCCAAGCCGCGTGACTTTGTTTTTGCTTTTTAAGGCTGTGTTTTATACACCTCACCTTACTCTGTCTGTTTCCCTGAGCCGTAGGGATTTTTCGGTGGGCGGCTGCCATCTCTGTGCTGCTCTGCCCGGTTTTGACCTCTTCGAGGCTGGAGCTGGGCAGGCCCTGGCAAGGCTGGGATCGCAGTGGCCCCATGCACGCCATAGGGTGCTTCCAGGCTGGGGCCGGCAGCCTGTGACACCGGCTTCTTTGCAAACCCACAGTACGCGTCCGAAGACGCCGAGCTCCTGCTGGTGGGGAACAAGCTGGACTGCGAGATGGACCGAGAGGTCAGCCGGCAGCAGGGTGAGAAGGTGAGCGCTGTCCCCGCGGGGCCTGCCCCACACACCTTTCCTGCGCTGGCTCTGCTCTCCTCACTTCTTGCTCCTCTAAACTCATTTCAAAGTAGAAAAGTAGGAGCTGTGAGTGCAAACCGCACGTTTCCTAGGCTGGCGTTTGTTCCAGAGGACGTCTGCTTGCACTGTGACACTGCCCTCACGGTTCCCTCCTTCTCCAGCACGTTCTCCACTTCCCTACTTGTGCTAAGGTTTCGATCTTGGAGAAACGAGGATTCACGTCCAAAGCCTCAGCTCCTGCCCTGAGAGACTCGGGCAGGGCCTTAGGCCCTGGATCCTGACGTCAGCTCGGGGCTTCTGGCTGCTGTTTCTTTTTCCTGTTCTGTCGTAGAAGTCTGTGGTCCTTGTGAGCCTGGGATTTGAGCAAAACAGGGACCCCAAAGAGCCTCAGTCCCCTCCGTTAACACCAAAGCCCCAGGGCTGTGACCCCTTGACACACACAGGTCTCCGAGGGTTCCATGCTAGACACAGGTGTGGGTGTGTGTGTGTGCACGTGCGTGTGTCTTCACAGTTCGCACAGCAGATAACCGGGATGCGGTTCTGTGAAGCCAGTGCCAAGGACAACTTCAACGTGGACGAGATATTCCTGAAGCTGGTGGACGACATCCTGAAGAAGGTAAAAGGCCCTGGGCCACCTCCCCAGAGGGTTCCGTGCAAAGCTTGGTGTTGAGATGTTTTATTTAGAAGCAGAGGCCCGGTCCCTGCACTTAGGTCCCAGGGTCTGGTGACCTGGGGCTGATGGGCAGCACGCCAGCTTAGCCTGGGGGTGCAGGTGTTGGTGTGGCCCACAGAACTATGAAGTCGCCCTGAGCCCAGTGTGGCTCAGGTAGAGCGCTGGCCGACCCAGCACTGCCATCCAGTGTCTGATGTCTGTGGCGTGGTTATCAGACACTTACTTTATTTCTCTGTTTCTCTGTACAGGTTAAAGTCACTATAGCCGGGAGATTAGCTGGAGAGGCAGGCAGGTCTCCAGCAAGTGCAGCCCTGGTGGGCACCTTCCCCAAGGCCATGCGCCTGGTCACTCCTCTCCCGAGGCTTCATGGGCCACTTTACCCCAAAATCAGTGGGGAGCTTCACTGAGCAACAGACATTTCTTTGAAAGTTTTCTCAGTTACTTGCACATGGCTGGGACAAATACCCGGCCCAGCAGAAAGTTAGAGGAAAAAAGGTTTAATTCAGCGTTTGTTCCATAGTCAGCTGGCTCCAAAGCAGGGTGGCATGGCAGAGGAGAAGCAGTCCGTGCAGGGTAGGCAGGAAGTAGCAAGGTCAAGAGAGGCAGGAGGAACCACACTATGACCACAGTGACACCTCCTCCTACTAGCCTTGAACCACCCAGCAACACACCCCGCTGTAAACCTGTCAGTGGACTATTCTGGTGCCTCATGCCCATAGTCCGGTACCCCACGTCTGCACTCCAGTACCAAAGCCCAGCAATGGGCCCGTGAGGCTGGAGGCCTTGGGTCCTCGAGACCTGAACCAGCCTACATTCCAGGTTTTCAGTGAGAAACCTGGGGGGTCAGCTTCCCCTCGGAACCTGCTGGAGACTGGTCTCCGCACCTCTGAGGTGATGAGCTCAGCAACACCCAGGCCCTGACCAGAAACGGCTCGGGACCTGCGCGGACCCACACAGGCTCCTGTGCAAGGCAGCTGTCCCTCGGGACGTCCGGTGCCCAGTGCAGGGCCTGTGCTACGTAGGCAGCTGACACACTGGCTCGTTCAGAGCATAACAACAGAGCGAAAGGTCTGCGTGTTCAGTCCTGACATGTTTTTATTTCCAAATATCTGCTGCCTGGAATCTGCAGGTGTGGAACCACAGTTATGGAGGCAGCTCACCGGATCCTCAGTTCATCAGAGGCTTCTCCTTAAATGGGGGTTCATGGGATTGCTGAAAGAGGGTCCTTCTTTTCTTTTTTTTAAATTTTTTTTTATTTGAGAGAGGGTCTCGGTAGTTCATGCTGGCTGTAAACACACGATGTACCCCATGCTGGTCTCAAACTAGGAGCAATGCTCCTGCCAAGTGCTGGGATTACAGGGATGTGTCACCACACCTGGCTCTTTTTTTTTTCATAAGCCTGTAATTCCTGGGGCTGCTGAGACCTTTTTCAAAAGCTCATTTATGAACATATAAAATTTCATTACATTGGGTCCCAGGAGAATCAGTGTGGACAAGAGTGGTCAGGTGGCATCCATGCTGTGACGTGCAGGGCGTCAAACCTGCTTGCTTGTTTAGTTTTGGCTTAGTGTTTTCACATCCAACCGCCAGGGTCAGAGAGCTTTGAGCTGCACTTGTTTCGCTTCACTGCATTTTTTTCCCTCCCCTCCCCTCCCCTCCCCTCCCCTCCCCTCCCCTCCCCTCCCCTTCCTTCCCCTCCCCCTCCCCCCCCCCTCCGCTTCCCAATGCAGCAGAGCCTAAGCGCTCTGCCCTCTGTTCAGCTGCGGGGTTTTCCAGCCCTCCCCCTCGAGCCCCACCCTGCCAGAGCGCTCACCACCTCTGCTCCTCACCCTGCAGATGCCGCTGGATGTCCTGCGGAACGAGCTGTCCAACAGCATCCTCTCGCTGCAGCCCGAGCCCGAGGTCCCACCCGAGCTGCCCCCGCCGCGGCCCCACGTGCGCTGCTGCTGATCCAGGCGCCACCCCCGCACTACAATCAATTTCCACGGTTTCCTCCTGCACTTTGTAATCTGAGTCAGAGCTACACACTAACTTGTAAATATGCAGATACGCAATCCTGGGCCAGTCCTGGCCATCCGTTACCTGTTCCCTCCAATCCGGTTTCATTGATTTCCCCGGCGGCGGCAGCAGTCCAGCCCCAGGGAGCATAGCACTCCTTCGGAGGGGAGCAGGAAGGGCACGTGATGCAGCTGTCCTGGTAACCATGCGGGGAGGCCTGGAAGATGCTCCGCCGAGAAGAGACTGCGGTGCTTTGCGTACCGTTCTAAAGAACGTGGGTAAAACTGAAGTTTGAGGACAAAGCTGTGTTAAGTGGTTCCCTTCACTGACAAGACCTCGAGCTGCCATGGGGCCCTGCAGGCCGGGCTGGGAGGGGAGGCGGGCGACGCTCCAGGCTGCAGAGAGCCTCAGAGATTTGGGAGGCGGTGGCCTCGTTGTGCGGTGCAGCGCTCAGTTCGGCCTGAGGGCTCCTACTCCGCCCTGTGCGCCTGGACTCTACTTGTTTTTTCCTTTGTCCGGTCCTGAGTCGAGGACTCTCTGGTAGACCTTTCATTAAGCTGCACTGTGCTGTTTAGTCGAGGTGAACAGTTCGTGTCGGGATGACTTGCCGTGTCTGAGTGTTGTAGGAGGAGAAGCATCCTGGTCTTTCTACACTAATGAAGTGCAAATAAAGTTTTGTATTTATGAATGACAACTGTGAAGTCGCAGAGTTCCTTTGTGAGTTGCACACTGCGTGCGTGAAGCGACCTTACAAATCGTGCCTCTCTGTCTTTGGGCTGTTATATGGGGGAAAAGTCCGGCGATCCTGAAGGGCTCACTGTAGGTGTAGGGACTCAGAACAGCAGCTCAGGCACTGATGCCTGCCGGATTCACAGCAGCCCACAGAGAACGACCCATCTTCAAATGCAGATTAATGGATAAACACATCAGTGGTGGAATAGTACTCAGCCTGGAAGGAGGAAAAGGAATCAGTCTCATTGTGTGGCGCATGTGATGAGCTAGAGGTCACTGTGCTGAGTGAAGTAAGCCAGTCACAAAGGACACATGCAGTGCCACCTTTGTGAGGGTACAGGTGAGTGGGCAGTGGCTGCCAGGGTTGGGAGGGGAGGCCAGGAGTCAGTGTCTCCTGGGTGCCAACTGTCAACTAGGAACAAGCTGGTGATGGTGGCACAGGTTCCGTGCACAGCATGCGCTCGACTCTACATACGAAGCCTGCGCATGAACCAAGGCTTGGTGCCCACCTGGGTTCCGTCCCTCGCAGGGGCTGAGACATGAGGGTCTCGGGTTTGAGCTAGCCTGCACAACCTCGAGAGACCTTGTCTCAAGAAGACACTAGAAGCCCTGGGACTGAGTGTGGTGTGAGGCCCCGGAAGGGGCGCGGGGAGGTGCTGGCGAGGGGCAGAAGACCCCGTGCCCTGTCTGCACATGGGGCTGCCTGGAGTCTTGCACAGGACCCCGAAACCGTGTCACCGAAGCTTCCTCTCCTGTGAACTCGGGGTGGAGGGAAGAACTGGCCTTGGGGCCAGCCTCCAGTTGCTGTGGTGAACCCTGATTTACAATCCCTTCCTCACTGGGCATGGTGGTGCACACTGTGATCCCAGCCTTCCAGAGGGTCACTATGAGTTCGGGGCCAGCCTGCGCTACGTAAGGAGACCCATCTCAAACCCCATACCAGAGATCTCAGATCAGTAGCTCTTGTGGCCAGAGAGGCCTTTGTGATCCAGGAAAAGAATGGGTCTTGGGAGGCCTCAGTGACCCCTTGTAAAGCTGCAGGCAGCCTCTCCACCCTCTCTGTCTCCCACGGGGCACTCAGCAGCACCGTTAACCACATTTTTGATCACAGCTCATAGAGGTGCTCAGGGAAGAGGGCTCCAGAACTGCTTCAGATGGGACCCAGAGGGGGATGTGTGGCAGAGTGTGTCATGCTGTAACCGTTTTTATTTACAGACGTGTTTTTGCAGTCCTGTGGTCAAGCTAGGAGACTGGCTTTGGAACAGGGCTGGGTGTTGGAGCCCAGGCTTTAATCCACTTTTACCAGTTCTTTTTTGGCATTGCTGGGGATCAAACCCAGGGTCTCCTGCGTGCGAGGCAAGCATTGTACCACTGAGCTACACTTTAGCTGATCCTTTTTTTAAGTGGTCATAGTAATAAGACACATGATGTGTCTCCTTCCCACCTTGCGCTCCATGACCCCAAGTGTAAGTACTGCAGAATGTTCTAGAGGGGCTCCCTTCCTTGTTTGTCTTTGTGGTCTGAGGAGAAGGAGCTTTGCCAGCTCTATTCGGGTCATCTCTTGCTGTCTTCATTTCACTGAGATCTCGAGTGGCCAAGTGCCCTGGGGAGGCCGTACCTTCCTGGTGCCGTGGGGTTACTGGCCTGGTCTCTGCCACCGCGTGAGTGCTGCACCTTTGTGACATTTCGGGGGTGGCTGCTGGCCATGGCTTGGGATGAGCATGAACTCAAGCCTGCTGGGGGCGCAGGGGAGGCGCACTTGTTCCTTTGGGCTTGGTCGGCACCACAGGCTGTCTGGAGCAGAAGCACCACGGCTTAAGAGCTGTCTGGGATTCTGCAGGTGGAGACTGCCAAGTACTGGAGAAGGCAGATGAGGGGAATGAAACAGACATGGCCCTTTGGCTTTGGAGCCTCGAAGGTTGCCTGTCCATCCTGAGCCGTTGAGGGTGGGCCCGGGCGAGGTGGGAACCATTTACACCACTTCCCATTGGAATTTGCCTAGCAGGTGAAAGCACCCTCATTCATCCCAGCTTTCCTACTTCTGGAAAAATACCCAACACCCACAGCCCTAAAAAAGAGGAGGTCTGTCTGGCTCACAGTTTCGGGGGGTTAGTTTATGGTCAGCTAGCTCGAAGCAGAAGCCTTGTGGCAGAAGGGCGTGGTGGAACCGAGATGCTGCAGGAAGCCATGTCCCTGAGGTCACATCCCTGTGGCCAACCTGGGCACACCTAGACACATGCTTTGCTAATCTGCAAGGGGGATTCAACTCGCCTCCTGCACAGAGCACCCCGAGTACCAGGTACAGCCTGCAGGCTCCCTCCTGGCAAGTCACAGGGACCACAGAGGGACACTCATTTCCAACTGACACTGCCTTTTGCTGGGGGAGAGCGGCCCCTGCAGGCTGTGGCTGTCCTCTGCCTACTGAGAGGAGCCCTCATGGGCCCAGATCTACCAGTCTGAATTTGGAAGTGACCCTAGACAGCTCCTACTCCACTGGCTCCATCCAGCTGCTCTCCCTGGGGGCCCCATAGACTCAACCCTCTTCCCACCAACCTTCATGGAAGCCTCGGGGACTCTCACTTGCCTTTTGTGTTGTTGTTTTAGGTTTTTTGAGACAAGGTCTCACTAGGTAGCCCAGGCTGGCCTTGAACATGCAGAAATGCTCCTGCCACAGCCTCCTGAATGCTGCAATTACAGGCTGGCAGCACCACACCCAGGCTCTCATTTGCAGTCTTGCAGTGGTCTCTGCTTCCTGCAAATGTTCTAATTATTCTCTCCGTTCCAACCACGTTCCTGAGCTTCCTCCTTCCTTCACTGCTGTCGTCAGGAAAACACGTCCAGAAATCCCATTCATTTCTCTGGATGTGGAGAGATTTCCTTTCCACTCCACACGAGACTTTAGAGGTAGCTCATCTAAATGCTGGCAGCAGGCATCATTTCCTCTGTTCACTGGGTCTCAGGGAAATCGGGAAACCTGGCTCAATTTGTGCTGGCACGGAGCAGAGCGGCCTAAATGCCTGTTCTGTAGACGCAGCGCTGTCTGCCCTCAGCCTTTGGAAAGGTTACAGACCTGCCAGCTTAAGTATGCAGAAACACGTCCTTATCTGTCTGTGACATTCCACCTCTTGGCCACTGGACCATGGCCCCAAATCCTGCACTCTTATCAACATTTTAATTTGCTAATGTCATTGGGGTGGTTTTCACACAAGTGCTGCCTGTAAAGATCTCCTGAAAGCAAACTCAGGAGAAGCCAGCTAGCAAGACAGTGGCATTCACTGGAGCAGATGAGTAACATTAACTAGAAACCGTTTTAACCCCACAATTACAAGACAGACATTGTCACAGTGTGTAAAACAGCAAGACCTGAATACATGCCATCCACAGGAGGCCCAGCTCCAATCAAGGACAAAGAGAAGTTGAAACTGAAAGGAGGGGCCGAGACGTGAAAACCCGAATCAGAAGGAAGCTGGAGAGGTTAGAGTGCTGTCAGGCTGTGTGGTCTCGGGGCCGGGGACTGAGCTCAGTGGGAGGGTGTTTGCCTGGCATGCACAGGGCCCTGGGTTCAATCCCCAGCGCCACCAAGGAGAAGACTGGATATTACAAAATAACATACACTGCTGGGAAAGAAGCATTCCATAATGAGGGTCAGGCTCTAAGAAGGCAGCGATCTTATATGTAATTACCACCATGGCTTCAGAATATATAAAGCAAAGTCAATAAGCCTGACAGGAGAAATGAATCCACAGTTCTCTGTCCTCAATGGGACAAGCAGCTGGAAAAGCAGGCTCTAGAAGACCCTGTGACCTGGGTGACCACGGCCCGCTTTGCCTCGCTGAGCCCTGTCACAGGCCGAGAACACATTCTTCTAAAGCACGAGGTAAATCCTACCCCAGGGCATGAAACGCACTAGCAAAAACCAAAAGAAAAAACCATACTTTACTATACCGCAACCGAATTAAACTAGCTTTACTTTGAAAACCTCCAAATGTGTAGTTTACAAACACTACACGCTTCAAAATAACCCAGGTGTCCAAAAAAGGGAACTTGAAAAATTTCGATGGGATACAAGTGCAAACACATCCAGCGTGTGGGAAGTCGCTGAGTCAGGGTTGGGGGACCTTGCTCAGTGATGAGAGAAATGGAAACCGACAGTGAGGTGCCGATCATGGCAGAAGCACCGAGAGAGGGACGGGGACCGAATGGCTGGGCGGGGCTACGAGGAAGCAAGGAGGATCCGCTCAGCCAGGGAGCCAAAGGGTGGGCCTGGGGCCTTTGCACCCAGCCTTCTCCGCGGGGTCCTCGAGGAAGGTGGGGTCAGGGGCTAACGGTGAGAGGACCTCGAGGGCCTCCTGCCATCCCAGCCTGGCCTTGGCATGCTAAGGGGTGGGGCCAGGGCCGCTTGCTCCACACCTTGTCACCGGGAGGAAGGGCACAGGGGTGTCACCACTGCTCCAGCCCGCAGCTGTGCGTCTGTGGTCTGCGTCGTGTTCCGTGAGAGCTCCTGCCTCGTTCCTGCAGCCGAAGCAGTGCACAGAGGAAGGGGGATGACACCAAGGGCTGAGTTAGAAAGTTAGGAGCGGTGGCCGAAGGTGGTGTTTCAGACACCAGCACGCAAGTAAATGAAACTCAGTGCAAGCAGAAAAAGGAAACGAGGAGGAAGCATAACCAAACGAGATTCAGAGCATACAAACAGTAGGGAAAAGATCTAGGAAAAATAGGACAGAATCTCATCTGTGCAGTTCAACAACAGTGAAAAAGCAACCAGATAAACAGTGGCCACGAACTTAATAGACTTTTCTCCCCAGAGGCCCGACATCCGTGGAGAGCTGCCTGAGACTGTCATCAGGAGGAGCAGTGGTCGCCACTGCACCCCGCTGCAATGCTTGTAGTCAAAACAACCAAAAACAGACAGAAACTGCGGGCTTTGCAGGAGGGACTGGAAACCAGTGCACTGCTGATGGC